TACTACTCTCTACTCTTTGTAAATTTCTAGACACATCTTAACAGCAGTTATTCTGTGATTATTTCATATTCTCAAGCATTGCAAAGAACAAAAATAAAGCATCAGCAGTTAAAAGAATGTATATTGAGTAAATCTGAGTAATTAATTTTGCACAAATCTCTTACAGATTCCAGAATTTACTGTGGCAGAAAACACTGTGAAAACAAACGTCCCTAATTTCTTCCCCTTAATTTCTCATAGTGAACACAGTAACGAAATACTGTAACAAAAGTGCAGATGTACGGAAGCCTCTCAATGAGCAGCATCCTTACAGGACATAACAATGAAGTCAATCTTCACTTAAGAACAGGTTTTCCTGTACTGGCCTGCAGATCCTGACAACTCAGCAGTGATGGGAGATGAGGATTCTTTATGTCAAGATTCTTAAGCAACCAGCAGCCTCTGAAACAATATAGGGAAAGTATGTGAGGATATCGTATGGCAAAGCCTTTAGGCTGAGTAATTGAGTCAAGGAAAGGAGAGGAAGATTAAGGAAAACAGGAAATTTCATTATTTAGCCTTGTGGCAACACACTGTCAGGACTTCATAATAGATAAAAAGGATTTGGCCACACACTGAAGATGAATGAGACCAACTCAAATTCTGCAGCGTCAAGGCAGTTACTTGACTCCTTCAAAGGGGCACATGAGGAACTGCATGCCTGGCAGGGAAGAGGGCATGCTTTTATCTTGCTGCTTAAGGAAAGAGGAAGGTAAAGAAAGAGATATTTTTACTTTTTTTTTTTTTTTAGATTTAGTATTCCCCTTACACAGCTGCTGCTGCAACCTCCTGTCCTAAAACTAGCCTGGAAAGCAAGGCTCTCCTAGAGCAGAGATAGTACCAGAAAGTATGGCATCTAGTCTGTCAAACCAGATCCACCAGATGAAAAGCATGCTGGGCCTCTGCCTGCTAGAAGAAAACTCATGGGTAAACCCATGTCTGTATCCACAGCAGCTGCCCGGACAGAATCTCCTGGCCTTTCCACTACGTGGAAGTAGTGCCACCCACAAAGCAGTTAAGTGCCTGGGCTCCGTGTGTTTTCATTTGTGAAAGCCATGGACTTGGCCAGGGTTCTGTGTGATGACAGCAGAATCACAGAATGGCCTAGGCCATTAGGTCTAGGGACCTTAGAGATCATCTAATCCAACCTCCCTGCCATGGGCAGGGATGCCTCTCAACTAGACCAGTTTACTCAAAGCCTCATTCAACTCATTCAAGGGAGAGGTCATCCACAATTTCTCTGGACAATCTATTCCAGAGTCTTGCCACTCTTGTACTGAAGAATTTTTTCCTAGGATCCAATCTAAATTTATTCTCCTTTAACTTAAATTCATTTCCCCTTGTCCTATCGGTGGACACTTTTGTAAAAAGTCCCTCCCCAGCCTTCCTGCAGGTTCCCTTCAGGTATTGGAAGGCAGCTATTAGGTCCCCCCAAAGTCTTCTCTTTTCAAGACTGAACAATCCCAGTTCCCTCAGCCTGTCCTCATATCAGTGATGCTCCAGCCCCTGGATCATCTTTGTGGCCCTCCTCTGAATACGCTCCAACAGATCCACGTCCCTCTTATGGTGAGGACACCAGAACTGGACGCAGTATTCGAGGTGGGGTCTCACAAGAGCAGAGTAAAGGGGGAGAATCACCTCTCTTGACCTGCTGGCCACACTCTTCTGGATGCATCCCAGAATATGGTTGCCCCTGTGGGCTGCATGAGCGCATGGCTGGCTCATGTTGACCAACAATTCCCCATAGTAATCTGCCAACAGCCCCAGCCCTTCAAGTCAAAAGGGGGACAGGTACTCTAGCACGGAAACACAGTTTCTGTTAGCAAGAACCTTACAAACCATAAAGGTCCAAGCAAACTTCTTGAGGTTCTGCAGCTGTGCACTGTAAGGGCTCTTGAAAATGACACTCTGTCTGTTGTAAATTAATCTTGAAAGGTTATGAGTAAAAAAGACTTATGTAAAGAACAATCAATCAAAAAACCCAATATATTTGCAATTTTGAGCATACATTCATGTAAAAGCTGTAAATATGTAAATAGGATATTTTAGTTAACCAAAGTGTAGATTCTATATTCATGTCTGACTACAGATAGCTAGATGTTCACTGAAATCATATATGAAGAGCATATGCAGCAGGTTTAAGTATTTGGTCAGAGATCTGTTCTTAAAGAAAAACACATTCACCTAATGCAGACACAAGCTGAGAAGAATTAAACCACATATACAAGATTTTCAGTTCTATAAATCTCGAGTCACTGTCATGGCACTCACAGACTTCTTGATTTTTGAGCTGCCCCTATCCACTCACCAGAAAGGAGACTTTGTATATTACCAGACATACAGTTCAACCCGACATGGGACTCGGAGAAAACAATTTTTGGCCCCACTAACTACAACTCACAGCAGGGAAACGTACTAGCTGATGTTCCTGTTTAGCTGAAGTAGGCATGTAGCAAATTTGTTGAGCAACTCCTGCAGGAACACTCCTTTTCTGCTCTCAGTGCACTTCTGATGTCACCTCTACTAATATTTCTGTGCCAGAACTGCAGCCTTACTCCAGTAAAATTAGTGCTACAATCCTTTCTTTTCCATTCCTATGAAGCACAGAATCTTACATTTCTCTCTCAGTTAGTGTGTCTGACTTTGTTACTTGAGTAAGCGTGTGCATGCACATATGAAACTGAATCTGTGTCAAAGTCTGACATACTAAGCACTTTCTACTTCTGCTCGCTCTCCTCTCAATCTTTTATCTGCATACCGCATCAGGTTTTCTGTGCTAGAAAACTCTGCTGTGAGCTCACACTGTTCTGACAGACAAGAGTCTTCTAGAATTGCCAAGGCTGTAAGGACAGCTTGGATTCTTTTTGGGGCTAAATCTGGAAAGGGGACAGATATGGTGATGTTCAACCTCAAGGAGAATCCATAGCTCTAAGACAAGGAGCTCTAGCACCTGTTAGAAGCCTCAAAAGGAGCACTGCAACAGCACTATAAGTTAGGAAACATTCAAATTATCATAAAACAAAAAATAGAGAAAAAACATGAGAAAAGCATACTCCTTCTGGAAGGCAAGCAGTATTCTACACTGTAAAATTCAATACCTACCTCAGCTTGAGAGTCATTCTGCATATTCCCCTCCCAAAAGGAAGCAGTGGGGAGAAAGACATATTTGATGGATGCACCCAGATGCTAAGATTTCTTCTAGAGGGGCTTCTGCCAAATTCCTCCCTTCCAACCCTGCAGAGATACTACAAAACAATTTTCAGCCCTGTCTCTCCCTCCCCATATAAAACCTCCAGCAAGCTCACCTGCACAGTGGTTTGCAACCCAGGTAGCACAGTGCAGTTACATCGAGGGGCTCAGCTCTGGATCTCTCCAGTTACCTTCTAAATACTGAGAGAAGGTAACTATCTTAACCTTTGTCCCAACTCTTAAATCTTTTGCAACTTTCCCAGTTTTTCAATGATCACTGAAATTCTGCATCACAGGTTCAGAAAGCTCCTAAGCTAATTCTTTTAATACTTCTAGATTCGAGTTATTCAATCCACTCAAACATTTCCTGTCAGCAGTTGCTGTTTAATGTACTACCTTGCTACCAGTTAAGTAGAAAATACTTTACCACTGTAATATGTTGCACTACTTCTTTTAGAACAGTTCCACATAGAAGTACCTTTATGGAATATTTCTACCTTCCCAACAGTATAAACATCTCATTTTAAAGCATTAAACATATGCCATTGCTACACTTAACGGTTTCCTCACACATACACTCACAGCACTTTTTTCTAGTTGTACTTACTTGCTACTGTGGCTTAGGACAAGTTTCTAGTACAGACTGCCAGCTCTTTAAATTTCCAAATTCTTCATTTATTAAGACACCTACTAATCTCAGCCTTATTTTCACTTGCAAGATATTTCATAATGAAATAATTTTCTCTTCTGATTTCTTCACTGTATTCGCATCTGTTGACAATTAGCCTTCAGAAACACAAGAGTTGCACAAGAGCAGTTACAGCTCTTGCTGTAGTTATCTACTAACCCACTTATACAGGACGTTCTTTTGAACACCCTGCAAAATTTGCCTCGGGACAGTTGTTCACTGTGGAAAGGCTCCCTGCTCTTCCCAGAGGCCCATTCTCCCCATATGGATTTGTGCTGTAGGATTCTGGCTCATGAGGGATCCTTCCAGACTGTTCAACCCCTATTCCAGACTGTTTTTTTCAAAACGGACACACTTGTTAACTCTCATGAAATGATCGGGCTCCTCTGCCTCAACTTCTCTGAAGGTTCATGCAGAGCACAATGACACCACCATCGTTCCATCTATCACTGTATTAAAAAATATCACCAAGTATTCAAAATATGTACAACACTAAACACAATCAGCTTTGACACTGAAATTTTGGCATATATTTGTTGTGTTCCCCAAAGCATAGAATTTCTAACCTGTACACCTTCCTAGTTAGTGCCATAAAATGTACTTGCACTGTGAAAGTGAACATCTTTCAGGACATAATCCAACTATGCAGGACGTTAAAAATTACTATAAAATGAAGGTATTTGAGACAGGTATGTGTTATTGCAAATAACCAGATAATTTATTATACGCAGCATGGAAAAGAACAGTTCCTCAGAAAAAAAAAACACACTTAAAAAACCAAGTAGATCCTTGCATACAGAATATAGATTAATGATGCCTTCATCAAGAGGATGGGACTTCCTGAACGAAACCAAGTCAATTACTTCAAATAGCCTTCAAACTTACAAGCAAGCACAAACAAGGACATAAACAAAATTGTCTGCTCTTTTTAAGTCCTTGTGCGGTATCTGAAAAAGAAACATGGAAAACTTCCGAGTGAAGTTGCTTTTGGTCCACTCTAGCAAAATAAACTACAGAGATAAGCCACTCAAGACACAGCATCTATTTTCAAACCTGAAAAAATTATGAAATAGGCTTCAATCAGTTAGTCCAAGATAGTGTGGAAATCTTCACTAAGAAACGTCTCTGTTACTGCCTTCAGCAATGCCATAGTATCCTTTGTGATCTTCCTGAATAGCTGCATCTTACCTACCAAAATATCAGAAATAATTCATTACTACTGCAAGTAATTAACAATTCTCTTGTAGGAAAATGCTAATAAAATAATGAAATCAATACTAGCTGAATCCAATTAAAAGTTGGAATACCTGGAACATGGGGATAATAAAAACTCTACTATTCATCTGCCCTTAAATCAGGCTAATAAATAGAAAGGTTAAAAATTGTGTATTAAAATATTAAAAAAACTAAGAGAACCAAGGAGCAAATCCTGCCTGATGTCCTCGTAAGGCTTCTAAAAAAAGTTTAAAATTTGTAAATTCAGACAAAGAAACATAAGATCACTTATTCAATAACCACATCCACCAGAAAAGGCCTTCTGTCAAACCACAGTTACTTTGACAGATCCTATTTTAAACAACACTAAGGACAAGAGACAGATTTTTATCTGGTTGCAATGTTTAGCTACAGCGGGAAGGTATTTCCAAACCGTTTCTTTTCCCCCTCTGCTTTCAGATATGACATCAAAGTAGCCTGTGCTTGGACCTAACATATATAAAAGGATTTAAAAAAAAAGTCAAACCCAAGTCATATGGAAAATGCACCTTTTGCTATAACACTGGAAACAGCAATTCTCCTTGCTGTGTTTTGTTGTAAGAGAAGAGAGGCTAACTGAAAAGCTACACTTATGGTGCAAAATTTTGGAGACTAAATGAGCCTCTTAAATTGGGAATTAGATTTTTTATAATAGGACATAACAGTTTTAAAACACAGAAGGTCATTGAGTCTATTGTCAACAGAATTATAGACAATAAAAAGGACTTTTTAAAGATTAGAAAGAACATGTAAAATCCTAGCAACTGTTTAAGTCCGTTACCTAAACATAGTTGGCCAAATTGCCAATGGTGCAGAAAGGCAGAAGTGCTCAATAAACGTTTTTTTCTGTATTTGGAAAGGAAACAGATGATGTATTTATCTCTTATAACGATAAGGAAAGACTCTTGCTCCTTTCCCCACTGGTGATAATAGGAGGGATGTTAAACAGTAACTATATTTTAAATACTTAACTCTGAAGAATGATGACAACTTGTGCTGACAAGCCCCTGACGTTGATATTTAACAGGTTTTGGAATAGTGGGAAGAACCTCTCCCCCAAAACCTAAGAGCTTGATATTGATTCCCACAAAGAGTAATGGAAAAGCACGTGCAGGGACACACACACAAAAATTTATATTGATTCCTGTCAACAACATGATCTTACAGGGATAGCAGATTTTTTATAGTCAATACAAACTCCAAAATGACAACAAAAAGTGTAGTTAAGTCAACACAGGCACTATTATCGGCTTTTTTTATCTCTGTGCTACAGACTGCTGTGCCACACGAGACATAGAGGTAGCTTTACAGCAACACACTTGAGAACCAGTGACTTCCTTGTCACAGCTACTCTGATACCCACACAAGCTCCCTGATTTCCAGATGTAAGACAAAACTTAAAATAGTGCTTAAAATCAGCTCTATTATATATCTATATATATATCTCTATATAATGCTTAGGCTCTGTACTAGCCTTCTCTACAGTGTTATATTCTGATTACACTACCTACCCCGGAACAAGCCTGATGCAGGCCAAACAAAACTAACAAGATTGAATAGAAAATGATCTATCAATGTATCTTTAAATAGATTTTAGTGTGCTCCTGCAGGATTGAGAGATTGGCTATTGTACAAAAATTGGAACAAAATATGAATATAAAAATCATGTATAAGCAGGTGACTGAAAAATAGACTTTTATCTACAAAGAGAGATCGCAGAGACCTGGAGATAATGATGCACATTGACCAAGGGTACGCACATGACTTATCACTACAGATCACAAGCCGTCTTTGCAGAGCTTTACAGCATCAGCTCACACTGATGCCTCACCATCCCTCTTGCTCAGCCCTTGGGTAGGGTACCTGGTGCCTTCTCAGTTCCTTTCCAAAAGCAGTTTTTGAGATTATTTTTTAAGCCTCAAGCAACTCGTAAAGGAAGAAAAGCAGGTGGGAAGCAATTAGACACGCAGTCAAAGTACCTCTCAAAATTACAGTCACTGGTAAGTATTTAAGCCAACCCCAAACAGTAACCCTCCTGCCAAATTATCCAACGGATGTTTTGGGAGCTTTTCATAAAAAAAAAAAAAGCTACTACACAAGTGCTTCACAAGTATTGTATCAACCCTTGCAGCACAGGTAGAACAGGGCTAACAGAAGTACAGGTAAGATTTCAGGGGGCTACAAGCAAATGGAGGCGTCTCAGGTATGTTAAGTTACTTGGGCCCCTGTCAACCAATTACAGCAAAATCTTCCCTCTTAAAAGTTTCACAGTGAAAATAAGCCACAGCCTGCTAATTTTTCAGGCAGCCATTAAGCAAAAATCTCTGAACCCTTAATCTTCCAGCAGTGTTCCTGAAGCTCCAAATATTTCCAAAAGAAACTGAGCCTTGTAGAGTTGTTCTAACATGGATGTGAAGAACAGATTCTACCTCAGAGGAAGTAAGATTTATGAAAGAACAGCTGGAAATTACTATTTTCAGGAGAATGTCATCACTAGTTTTCTACTCGCCTCTGGGACTTTTCCTGCTCCACCTCCACAATACTCTGCAAGTACAACATCAATAATTCTCCCCAGGAATTCGGGAAGCAAGGTTATTCCATTTCTGCAAGGGTAGTTCTCACTGCCAGAGAAGCCAAGTGATAAATGGTGAGCTTTCCCTTCTTGGGTTAGAAACTGTGCATACAGAGTCAGGCCTGGACCACAATCAAGTTTCGAGTTTGGCACAGGTACAGCAGAAGGAACGTAATGACAATCATTATTCATACTAGGAAAATTCCACCTCTACTTCCTAGCCCATTTTCCCTGCTCTTTGCAGTGATGTGATTTTGTGGACAGCAGAGATCACTTTTATGGTAGATGCACACACTCCACAGAAGACGAGATTCTGCTGAAC